AAAATGCTGGGCTAGCTGCGATGGAGAGGGCCAAGATTGTTATCCTATTCTATCTTCAATATTTTTTTCATTTCATTTTTATAGCGACAGCAGTAATATGAACACTCGGCTGATTTTCGCCGTCGTGATCATGCCTCGGATATGTATATGCACTGATATATGTGAAAAAAGCATAATGTAAAATAAATCAGCAGAAACAAAACACCAAAGCAACATACAGGGGACTCAAACCAGTGACAACTCGTTCAGCAGCCTGCTGTGCTAGGTAACAAAGTCACTTGTCATTCATGTTTAGTGGATATAATGACAAGCTATTCATATGCACCATTTAGCGCTCGAGGTACAAAAATTTCGGAACAGCTTCAGCGTATTTTCTATCACCAACTCTGTGACATCTTCTATCAAATTGAAATATTTCCTTGAGACGCGCAAAAAAAAAAAGTGGTTCCCTTCTATTCCACTAATGATGTAGACAAGAAAAAAAAAACACGGGGCACGCAATGCCTAAGACGCCACCACGTGGCAGGAGAAGCAAAGAACGAAGTTACGTGCCGCATTTCGAAGAAATAAAATAAAGAGAACAATGGAACTGCGCTGGCTTCTGCATTGACTAGATTTTCAGTGCGTTCCTCAGATACAAACGCGTAACAGCTATGACGGTTGTTAGTTCACACTTTTCCTGTGTATACCTATGCATGCGTTTGCGAGCGTCCTTCTTTGTGCTGTGGCGGTGGGCTGAAAGTATCGAGTCAGTGCTCGTTCAGTGATAATCAAATTTCTTGCTATCGCAATTATTGCGTCCCCATTATGCCGAAACTGACTTTTTTTCTTTTGTTTGGCGCGATTGCGATGACAAACACCGGCGGCAGACAACTACAGAGCCAAAACCTAACAATGTTAAGATCTCATAACAGTTTCTAATGTTAAGTTTGTCCTGGTCTCGGAACCGAACACTGGACCAATGCCTTTTTAGGGTTGTCGCTCTATTAATTGAAATAATCAGGACGCTAGAAATTCACAGTGCGAGGGCGAATCAAGCGATAACATGAAATGCATGTACACAGTAAACTGCACAGTGGTTCTGCGTTTCCGCAAATCTATTTTGCACTACAAGTGCTGATGGCTTTAGGATTTTTGTAACTTTCATTACTTAGTGTTGCAACTTTTATTGACCGACTTCTATTACTTCTGCGGCTTAACGTGTGACCCCGGGAAACGTCTCTCTAGAGCTTATGATTTATTTTTTGCTGTATCAACAATCTTTCACCGACTTGTGCGTTTGCGTGTGCATTTTGCGTGCTTTTAAAATGGGGAAAAGTGAGCCTAAACGAAAAGTGATAAAGTTAGGAGTGAGAAATAAGTCAGAAGAGCCGGGATTGTCAGATGCGTTACTAAGTAAATAAACAGTGAATCTTGCAGAACTGCCACCAGAAACTTGTCGCGCAATATTTTATTAATGACACATGTGCGATTATCAATGACAGATTTTACAAGTTGTGTAATATTACTTTTGTACCCATTGACGGCAATGACCTTGATGAATTTTGACGTGTACTTCACTCGTTTGAGCTTCTAAGTCTGGTTCTTGCATGAGGCACACATTTTATGCAATTTTTATGAGTCTTTAATTCAGGAGAATGTGCTGCAAGAAATATTTCTGTTTTTTTTTATTTTACAGTCAGTAGCTTCATGTTTGTTATGGCCGGGTATCGCCATTATTATTTTGTTACCCAGTACAGTTGACCTGACGAAGAATGAAGTTCATTGTGTCTTATAATCATGCGCGAAAGATTACAGTTGCGCAGAAAAAGCCACTGAACTCTCGAGTGCCCCCTTCTCCCACCTCGTCTTTTCTTTCTACGTTTAAGATTTCATGTAACATGTTCATAGATAAAACAAACGTTCGACTAATGCTGAATATTCAAAAATCTGTACGGAAGAAAAATATGACAGCTTCATGTTTTTGACATGCCTGCAAAATTTTAGGATCAAACGCACATCAATATTGCATACATTTCAAGCTTAGGCTTTAGTAGGATGTGAGCGAGCAACTCATGTGATACCGTTTTGAGAAAACAATGTGCGCAGCTATAAGGGGTCGTCCCAACCAAGCTCTGTCAGCTTCAGAAGAATCTCTTCCCATACTCTTTTCAAATTATGAGGGGCAGCACAAGTTAGCGTGAAGGCATTCGTGGACTTCAATACCCTTCAAAAAAAAAAAATAAACTGCTTAGATGGTTCGTGAATATGTACATGTCTTTCCTTCGTATTCTTTTTATCATCCTCGTTAATTATATTATTATTATTATTATTATTATTATTATTATTATTATTATTAAAAGTTTCTCTTCAGTGTTCTTTTGTCTTCTTTTCCTATTTCGGCTATTTCTGAAAACTAACCATAGGCACGGAAATTCCCTCATCTTACATTTTTCCTTCGACCTACGCCACCCTCAGCAATGACCGAGATTTCACTGAAACTAAAAAGAAAGACGGTGGCCTGCTGATTGCCATTCACAGTTCACTAAAATCCGTTAGACGGAGAAGCATTGAAACTGTAGCAGAATTGATCTGGTTAGAAATCAAACCTTCGACATTGTGAAAGATTATTGATTGGGTACTTCAATTTATCACCTAGCATTTTCGCTCACTCTTTTTTATGTTGTCATTATTTCTTTCACTTGAACTTGTAATCTCTCCCTATTGTGGGCACATAATTATTGTTCTTGGTCATTTCAATGCACCCACCTTGAATTGACTGGAGCATGCTTACCTTTTCTCATTATAATCATTTCATAGAGAAAAAAAAATGCAGTCTGCCGTCGAAATTTCTGGCTTTCAGTTTGACTCAACAACTCGGTCGTCTATTTAGACCTTTGCCTGTCAAACAATAAACCCCCTGAAATTTCATGCTCCCACGTCTCTCTTGTTCACCCGAAAAAATTGCCCCCACTATCTAATGTAAGATTATATGTATGGACTGAAACAACAAGCGACAGCAGTATCAACTTGATGGCGGTAACTTTTCTTTTTCGTCCACTTTTCTTTCTTCGCATACACATTACAATTTCTTCTGATAACATCTACCATACTTTTCTTCTCATTAATGTTGTGTCTTGAACATATATATATATATATATATATATATATATATATATATATATATATATATATATATATATATATATATATATATATATATATATATATATATATATTTTTTTTTTTCCTTGTACAAAGTGACTAGTGGGGTCATTCAAGGGTCGGAACCAGGCCCACTCCCATTTTTAATTAAAGTTAATGATGTTTCTTTGCTTCTCGTAATTTTTCTTTGCACTTGTATGCTGATGCTATCAAGGTATTTAGGGAAATTTATTTAGTTAACCACTGTCTCTTGCAGCAGTCAGATTCGGGTTTTTTCGAAATTCTGGAACACCGATGATCTATCTCTAAATACCCCAAAAACCGAATTCATGAGCACCACTCGTGAAACATATAGCGTGCAATGCCCTTTCTGTGTGAATCATGTGACGCTATCTAAGGTTGATGAGATAAGTGGTCTTGTTGTTCTTTTTGGTAGCACATTAAGCTTCTCAGTTCTCCCTAAGCGTGCTCCCACGCGCAGCGTTCGTTGTAGCTGATGAGTTTTCAGAATATCTCGAGAATTCCGTTTGCCTCTAGCCTTCCATAAATTGTATATACCAATATGTCTTCTTCAACTTGACTATGCGTCTGTGATTTCTAATGGCATTGCTAAATCTATAGCAGTAACAACACTGAACGAGCCCACACAAAAATGATAAGTATTTATAGCCATCGCTTCGCCAGAAATGACAAATCACGTTGAGATGCTGTTGGATCGTTAAAAACTGGTTCACTGTATCATTTTCCGTGTACTTCTTAATAGTGCTAATATTCGAATTCCATGTATGTTAACCAGAGAGAATGGACCGTTTTATGTACCCGCTATAATCTTCGAAACACTACACTATTCACAGAATACAAAGAATCTGTCTGTGATGTCAGTTTTCTTGACATTGACCTTTTTCACAACCGACACCCAGTGTTTTCGTTGTAGTTTTGCTCAGTCATAACATAATATGGTGATATGAACAATATTTTCTATTCGTCTGTCAGCCCGCTCTCCATATAATTTTTATATGCAATATTATTTTTAAGTTTTCTCGAAAATATCTCGTGTTGTCTTATTGTATTTAGTATTTTTTACAATTGTTGTTTTTACTTTGCGCTCTTGCTCTCTTTATTTGTGTATTTTTCTTAAGATTCAATGTATTTTGTGTTGTTGATTTTTAATTTTGATTCATGCTGCGCCTGCGAAGGAGTTCATGGTTGTTTGTTCGCGTATTAATAAATGACTGAAACTATTATTATTATTATTATTATTATTATTATTATTATTATTATTATTATTATTATTTGTTTATTCGTTTCTTCCTTCCGTGGTGCACAGAATAGAGGGCCCAAACATGCTAGCTCAATCCGATCTCTGCGCTCCTGCTATACATGTTATTACCTACTCTTTTTATTTATTCACCAATTTGCACTTCAACATTTTTAACGTTGACATTTGGCTAAATATTATACATTTACTCAGCATACTGCCGCGCTATCATGGGCTCGCACGATTATTTGTCGCGTTGGCTGATAACGGAACCTTCCGGGAAAACATCACACTATTCATAAGTGGTAAGGCAGGAACCAAGCATGCTTTTGCATTGTGTTAGTACGACCTTATCGCGAACGAGCACGCAACACTCCCGTTCCTGCAGATTCATGTCGTTCGATGCTGTGCAAGCAAGCAATCTAGAAGAAAAAGAAAACGATCAGAGAGTTCAATTCACAAGACTGATAATGAGTTAGCGATAAGTGCAGGAGTGCACAGGTGTGACAAAGAAATCGCTCGTTATCAATTATATTATATCCAGTTGTAGAGAGTTCTCTCTCCCTTGATGAGCGGAACCAGCTTTCAGGGCCACCGCGATAAAAAAGCTGCCTGTAGCGGACGTCTCTTACACTCAGCAGCCTCAGGGTCTCTATTACAGCAAAGCCTTCTCTAGCGAGCAATGCTTCTCAAGCTCTGTCTCGGTGAGTAAATTGTGTGAACTGTATTCACTACTTGCCATGCCAACTCACTTGTGTTTCGAGTACGCACTGGTCGCTTCTGCTTCTGTAAATTCAAACTGACGTGATGACAGAACAAACAGAACAACCATTTGCGCACAATTGTCGGCATCCATCTTTTTAGTTTTTAGACAAAGGTTTCCTATGCAGTGTACATGCTTGCTTTTCTAATTTTTAGGGTATGCGCCTTGTTTTTAGTATAATTTTTGTAGTGCAGAAAGATCAGCAAGCGTTGTCTCAAATATAGCTATTATTATCAAAGCAAGCTTTTAGGTATACTGCATGCTTTAGTGTAATCGCTGCTTGTTGCCTTGGTTTTCTTATTTTGAGCCAATCATTTTGAAGGAGGAGGAGGAGGAATAAACTTTATTATAAAAAACCAGCAGGTTTAGGTGGCCGGGCCTCCCATGAGGGGACGTCAAGGGCTTGCCTCGACGCTGCCTCACGGGCGTGCTGGGTCATTTTGGAGACCGATCACTTTTTAATGAAGCGAGCACTGATCCAATGGGCACTCATACAGAAATGAGCAAAAGGCGAATTTCCTTTTTATCGAAGAAATGATACAGCACTGAAAGTTACTAGGAAGTATTTAAGTGGGTAACACCAAGTAGAAAGCTCAACGCTCACTCCAGAAGCCTCCAAAGACTGTGTTGAACATCTTGTAATTGCTCCAGTACATGAAAGCTTCACAAATACTGAGCGAGAAAATCTGACACGAGTGCATATAACAGCTTGGAAACATGCGGAAAGGCTGGCTGGCGTTTCGTGTCGAGAATTCATTCACTCTCTCTCCACGTACAGGCCAACAGCATTTCTGTAACTAAAACAACTTCACACAATATACCGCAAAAGACGTACCATGCATTGTCGACAAAAAAGATTAGACATGGCGCTTTTTCTGTTTACGTCTGCGTGCCTTAATCGCAGCAGTGTGTATGATAACTAGCACTTGAATCCGTTATCCTAATATCACTGCTCTCCCACTTCAGTCATCGTAAAACAAGACAACGTGGTAACTGTCTCATAATGTCGATGGATTTCTGTACAACACCATAAGTAGTTTCCTGCCTTATTTTAGCATTGCCTTTGCTTTAGCCTTGCCGTCTCTCGAATACTGAAGTTTTGGACACGTTAATGAATCGAAACAGGGAGAACCTTTCGGAAGGGTGTCCCTGCGCGCGTGTATATCACTATTAAAATTATAATAACATTTAATATTTACATACTTAATGGTCTTCAAACTGAAGCAAGCTGGCCAAGACAAGAATTAGTGACAGGCAGTGTAGCTTTAAATGCGCATAATGCTCGGAAGATATTCCGTACTCACGGGGGAAGTGAATTCCAACCGTCAGGAATCCCGCAAAGTGCACCTTGTGGAATAATTGAAACAATAAACTATTCGGGGTTAAAAGGAACGCTTCATTTCATTTCGTCTTCGTGACACACAGTCATCTTGACATTGTTTCGAAATCACCTCATTGCCCAAGACCTGCGCCCTAATTGGCGCCAGGATATCACCAGCTGGAAATACTGTATTTGCGTCACTGTTGAGAAGAGGTGAGAAACAATGAGAAGAAATGAGAAACATTTCTTAGCAAACTTTGGCGACTTTGAGCGTATCTATCTATCTATCTATCTCTATCTATCTATCTATCTATCTATCTATCTATCTATCTATCTATCTATCTATCTATCTATCTATCTATCTATCTCTATCTATCTATCTATCTATCTATCTATCTATCTATCTATCTATCTATCTATCTATCTATCTATCTATCTATCTATCTATCTATCTATCTATCTATCTATCTATCTATCTATCTATCTATCTATCTATCTATCTATCTATCTATCTATCTATCTATCTATCTATCTATCTATCTATCTATCTATCTATCTATCTATCTATCTACTATCTATCTATCTATCTATCTATCTATCTATCTATCTATCTATCTATCTATCTATCTATCTATCTATCTATCTATCTATCTATCTATCTATCTATCTATCTATCTATCTATCTATCTATCTATCTATCTATCTAGCAGCCTACGACTTTTACCTCTCCTGGCCGCTTCGATGATGGGATCTTTACGAAAATTTTTATAGCATAACACGACTGTATGCCGAGCATAAGTGACCATTGGTAACATGAAAATCATGACATTTCTGTCATGAATATTCTGATTTACACACCATGGTCCTGAAGCTCTTGCAGTGGTTTCGTTTACATGACATATTGCAAAACTGGTATGGCATGTCTGCATGGCGAACACAAGTAGCAGGCCCTAACGTGGCAATCATGACGTGTATGTCATGTAAGCCCTGACTACACGCCATACGCCCATGGTGCGCTCACGATCACTTCGCTAGCTTCACATATGCCAAATTCGGTATTACGTGACGTGAATGGATGACGAAGGTATATGACTGGTGAAAACGCGATAATCATGACATGCTTGTCATGTAAGAACATGACTTCATGCCACGCTCATGATGCGCTCACGGCCGTTCGCAGACTTGACATCTACCAAGTTTGGTATTGCGTGACGCGATAAGATGACAAAGGTAAATGACACGTTCAAACTTGATAATCATAACATGCGTGTCATAGATATTATCACTATATGCTACGCTCATATGGCGCTTGTGGCTATTTCGCTAGCTTCATATATACGAAATTTGGTATTACGTGACGTGAATGAATGACGAAGATATATGACTGCTGCAAGATTTATAATTATGACAATCATACCATATAAGAACATGACAATATACCACGCTCATGATGCACTAGCGGCTGTCTCGCTAGCTTCACATTCACCAAATTTGGTAATACGTGACGTGAATGGACGACAAACACAAATGCCAGTCGCAAACATGATAATCATGACATGGAAGTCATGCAAGGCATGATTTTACTTGCCTATACCACTTCTGGGGCTGGTATTGCAAACGTTAGTGGCGCCATTGTTAGGCGACTGTAAACAACATAATTTCATCATATCCAGATACCTGAGTTCGCATAATATTTCTACTTGTGTTTACTGTGTACTACACCTATTTGCCTCGAAACCTTGTGGGGATTCCAAATAGACATATCAATCTTCCTCATTCGTGCTTCGCATATCATCGATTCCCACTGTACGTGTAATCTGCCATTCTTTTTCTAGGAGGTTCATTTGTACGTGATAGGTTAATGCATTGGCAGAAATATTGCGGGCCCAACCAGATTGATACGGCAGAATCGGGATCTCGATTATTCTGATCAACAGGCGCATTAAGTGCAAGCTGAAGTTGTGTGACGCCGTCAGTGATGGTTGGAGATGTGCTGGTTGACATGAGTGGCCCTCTCCAAGTGGGAAAGTGACTACTCAAGCGAACACAAGCAAAGGTCAAAGCACATGCCACGTCCGAATTCTCCCGCATCTTAGTACGTCGCACTATGGGTAGCTTGGTGCCACTTTAGTTAAAATAATCCTGTATAAATCGAATGGTCTCTAATGTGGCTTTCGTAGTCATTCGGCTTAGCAATGTCTTGCAAAGCAGTGTTTGAATAAAATATAATAATATTATAATAATAATAATATTATAATAATAAAATATTTAATGCGCCAGGAACAACCATAAAGTTATTGGCCAGGCGCACGCAAAAATAAAAGAATAAAAACAAAAAGTACAACATAACTTATCTTCAGAATAAGAAATCAAATATAAGCAGACAAAACGCACAAACAAAAATTACGCAATCTCCCGCTAAAAAGAACCATGTGTACATGCAAAGCAGTGCGCTAACAGGTACACAGGCGCCGACGTTGACGATGGCGCTGATCGCGTGGTTGCGCAGGAGAGAAGCCTGGGGAGGAGAGAAGCACGCAGTGATGGACCGGTGTTTCCTATTTGAACATTACAAGCTCTGCTAGTGGGCAATGAGAGAGAGGTGACTCTGACTAGACACAGAGACTCTCCGTCCGGTTTTAGTTAACGCACACGCGGCGAGTTTTTATTATTTAACAACGCACAGGAGAAATGTCCCACCGGCAATATCCCGGAGGTCAAGATCAAGTGGCTATATATGTAAACGGGGTAGCCAGTGAAAGATTCTGCAGCACGAGCAGTTGGTTTTCTATTTGAAGAAACTCGCTAACTGGCGCTGTCTCCGTCGACGTTGCGAGGCGAGGGAGAAGTGAGAGGGGGAGGGGACGTGCATGCGCGATTGGGTTGTAAACGTGGCGGGTAAGGGTGCCTAGAGGAGAAAAAAGGGGGAGCGAGCGTAGGCTAGCTGACGCTGCCGGTGCAGTCACGCCGCACACCGGATTGAACTCGAACATAGGGTACTCTACATCTAAGAGAAATCAACACCACACGGGAAAGTTAAAAAAACAGCACGAGACACATGTAATGTGAAGCAGAAATGGAGAATATACCCAACTATGCGCAAGGCGTCCTCAAAGACAGAAAAGAAAAGAAACGGTACGTTGTGAAAAACTAAGTCAAGACAGTGCAAAAGTGAGATAAAAACAATGATGGTGGACTGTGAAAAACATCTAGGTAATGAAAGTTAACGTAATGGAAACTTTGTATTCTATGAGTGGTAGAGTGTTGGAATAAGTTGGCAGGCGCATGAGACGGTCGATTTTATTTGGGTAACTTAGGTGAAGTTCAAAATTTATACAACTGAGAAGTAAAGTTGAGAATATTATGCCATTAAACAGCTTCTAAATAAACAACAGGTCAGCGTCATTTCGTCGGCAGTGAAGAGATAGCAATGATAATAATCTCACAGCGTTAGAACTAGATCCAGAGTTATCTCTACTGAAACGATGGTTGTAAATGCTTATGCTTTTTCTAGGCTTACTCAATAGCGGTACTGCTAGATTTAGCAATGCCGTTCGGAATCACAGATGCATACTCAAGTTGAGGAAGACATACTGCTGTGTAAAATTTGTTGAAGTTGGTAGAAGAGCTAAATTCTCGAGACATTCTGCAAACACAGCAGAGATAACGAAGGCCTCGCATAACAGTACACTTAGTGGTAGCAAAAAAATTAGCATGCTATAAAAAGAACACTAGGATCACTGAACTAATAAAGCTGACATAACGACACGGTACTGACATAGTATAGAAATGACACAATAAATTCTTTGCGAAATATACTCATGAATTTGGTCTTTGAGGTATTCAGAACAATGGTATTTTTATCAGGCCGTTTGAAGAAAAAACAGAAATCTGACTGTGGCAAGCGACAGTCCTTAACTGAATGAATTTTCTTAAATATCTTTATGTCATCAGCATAAAAGAGAAAAAATTATCGTGAATATCAAAAGAAACATTGTTATCGTTAATTAAACATGAAAGTGGGCCTAATACCGACCCTTGAGAGGCCCCACTAGTCACTTTGTACAAGGAAGACGTTTGGCAATTGACAGCAACATAACATAGTATATCAAGCAGTTATCTGTGCTGGAAATTCACAACAGACGAGTAAACATCAGTTTGCAAGTTTAACCAGAAACAGTGAGTGGCTGACTACGTCAAAAGCCTTGCTCAGGTCACAGAAGACTACGTCAACGAGTCCTCTCTAAGAAGTAGTTAGGGAGATTCGCGTCATGAACGTAGCAAGATTTGTGGTAGTTGAGCCGCCAGTGAGAAACCCGTGTTGATTAGCAATCAAAAATTTTTTTGACGCTATGAAACAATATGTTGTGAAGAGCCAGCTCAAAGATGTTCAATTTGGCGCACAGTCGAGAAATCGGGTGATAACCAGAAACATCAGCTTTGGAGCCTGAATTCAATACTGAAAATACACGCGCAGTTTTCCACATGCTAGGAAATGTGGAAGCGCTCAGACAGTTATTGAATATTTTAGTAAGTACTGGGTCAAATATACTGTAATAAGGCTTTAGTGTGGCGGAAAGTAGGCCACACGATAAGAACGGTTTTAAGCGCTTAATGCATGAGCGAATGCAAGCGACGGACTGCTAGATGTGCTAACTGCCGTGTGCTTTTGTTTTATCTGAGTGCTAGACAGTATTTTTTGTAGTGCGAGGCGAAATACGGAAACAGGAAGGAATAGAGTGACAGGACAGAACACTCAGTCCTGTCTCCCTGTCCCTTCCTGTTTCCGTATTTTGCCTCGCGCTACAATACATCCTTTCATTAGGATCACCAACAAGTCTACATTTCAACTCTCGTTGAGTGCTAGAGCTTCAGGCCTTATAGGCGGATGAAAAATGCATGGCAAAACAGTGAGTGACAGCATGCACTTGACACCGTCCGAGCCCAGTAGTCTGAAGGGCTCCCCTATTTTGCCATAGAGCGTTTGCGTACATACTTCCAAAGCCGAGGTGGCCTGTCAGAAGGTTTTTTTTTTCTTATAATTCATAATATGAACTGGGGTTCCGTTTATACAGGCGTTCAGAGAGAGCTCGGAAAAAGCTGAGCTCTTTCTTCCACTTGCTGAATGAGAACATTTTTTCTTATTGTGCTTGTGTACTTTATAATAATAATAATAATAATAATAATAATAATAATAATAATAATAATAATAATAATAATAATAATAATAATAATAATAATAATAATAATAATAATAATAATAATAATAATAATAATAATAATAATAATAATAATAAACAATTGTGTTCGCACGCTCTGCCTCTGGATGCCTATTCACTGCTTAGTCCTCAGGTGTAACAAACGACGTCCCTACCAAGAAGTCATAACATATTTTGTTGTTAATTGAACACTTCATTTAGAGCTTACATAGTCTAATTCCTTATTTGCAGTGAATAGCGTCTGAACGTAGCAAGCTAAAAGTGATAGTTAGCGATGTTTCACTTTCTATTTTGTTTTATTAGTTGCTCTGCTGGTTACTTCACATGCCGCAACTCGAGAGGAAAACCTTTACCGCGAGAAACTGAAGTCACATGCCAGAGACCAAACAGAAGGCTGCTGCTCGGACCTGAACATGATCTCCGCTGAAGAACTCAAGTGGGGAAAAAGGATGCTTCGGAACATTCACCTCGCCAACGAAGCAGTCAAGGTGAGTTTAAAAAAAAACGCTCCCGCAAACACTAATATAGGTAATACTAAACTGGCGCGTAATATGAAAAAAATATACTATAATGGGCAAGGACCATGGCGATAATGAATCTTGATTATTGAGAAATTGCGAAACGTCTGTCTGTGTGTTTCCCAAAGAAAATGATAGTATAACTTCACCTGCTTTGTATCAGCTTAGACCAGGGCCCAATGCAAAAAAAAAAAAAAACAACAACAACAACAACTGGTGCTATACACTTTTCTAAAAAAATTGTCCAGTGTCGATGCCAGACCATTCATCAGCACGTGTGTCAAAGAATGAGAGGGTAAACACTTACGAACGAAGATCTCCATTATTGTTGCAATTTGATGTGCCGTTTCATTAAGTTACTTAACTTGAATTCCATCGCAAACAGCCTGACAGACACAAACTATTTGTTTCTGCCAACACCCAGCATGTGTTGTGGCTATGAAGGATGTTAACTAATTGCAATTTGAATTAAATTTGCTATGCCTAATAAGGTATGCATTGATACTAATGTAGGAAACATTAACGTTAAACCGAGGATTTCGATTTTTGACTCAGACGACGATAGCAAATAATGCGGAATTGGTGTGGTAGCTTATACCGAGCGGAACTGATCTAAAATGTACCTTGATTTGGGAGAATATAATTACCTTCTGCAGCAAGGAAAAAAATGTTATCCCAGTTAGCTTGAGGTTAGTGCAAGCTCTGCACATAAGGTGCTCCTTACAAAGCCCTACACGAGAAAATATGCAAATGCTTCACATGATACTTTGAGAAAACCTATTACAAAAAACAAAACTGGGCATTTTTCAGTTGAAAGAGCAGATAAGTATTGCTAATGTTGTAGTGTAAAAACCCGTGTTGTGAAAAAAAAAATAGGCACAAGCAGACAAAATGAATATTTTTTCAAATATTAGAACCATTTTTTTGGACATTTTGGAGGTATTTGTTGGATAACACTGAAAAAAGTCACGTGAAGAATGGCAAGTAGCTCTAAACTTGCAGCACACACCTCAAGCAGAAAGCACGTACAAAATTAGCATACACAGGATGAGCGTAGACAAACAACTGTCACAGCTCGACACTTAAATCGCGCTCTTGAAACAAAAATAAAGGCGCATGAAACGAGTGCACAAGTATATATACAGGGGACAAGCACGAACAACTGTCGCAATTTTTCCTGCGTTGTGTGTTAGCAGCGCGCTGCTTTCGTAAACGTGGCCGCGGCAGCGAGCGAAGTGACCGCCGTACTCTCCCGAATTACAAGTCTGATAAGCACGTGCAGGAGAGACCGTGGAGGCGACAATCTTGAAAGCGCGCAAAACTTGAGTCCTTTGCGCCATCTCGCTATTGATAACACAAACGTGCTAATGTTTAGGAGCTATAAGAACAGCCAAATGATGTATGGTGTATATAAATGGGTTGCCGTGTGCATTCTCGACATTGTACGTTTCGTGGCATAGTGGTTAGCGCCGCGCGCCTGAACCCATAGGTTCTTGGTTCAGCACCGCGCAAAAGGAACTGTCCTCGTTTTTTTTTACCTGTTCGTGTGTATTTAACAACGTCATATCCGTGACGGAAACACGCCAGTGAAGCCGGGCTGGACCCCGGCATAAAACACTCCCGTGGTAAAAAAAGTAAGTGGGCGAGATCTCGCACGTTCTCTTGATGCTGTGCTTCGCAGATTAAGCTCGTTATCCATTTCGTAGAATCTAGCTTGTCAACGTCACTGCAGTGCTCGGGCACCAGCTACAAGTACCTTATAAACGGCGTACTTCTACGCTAAGGAAGAAACGATTTCTTCCCAACATCATGTCTTCTAGGAGCCAATGCACTCAAGATCAATCGCGATACTGGGCCACCCGACAAGCCTGCAAGAAATAAATTTATAGAAATTGAACAAGAAGCTTTCAGCTGCCGATACAACGCAGTAAAATATATGTAACGATAGTCTCATGCCTTTTGTCTTGTAAGTCCGAGAAAGAGGTAAAATGTGAGCAAAAAATAAAAAAATGAAAGAAAGAGAGCCGGGATAAGAAGCAGCTCACTGGTGAATAGAATATCGCGACACAATACTTAAATGCACAGTTATCCTGAATGGCAAAAAGATATGTGTTTCACAAAGCTCTGCGCCAGTAAAGAATAATAGTAAAAGCACCTGCTCTATATCCGCACGCTTAAGCTTTTTTTAGCGGTGAGCAGTTTATATTGAACAATACATTAGCAAAAGAGCTCCGTTGATGAGCACAAGTGGGAAGGAACTGTGCGTCGTTGAACTCTTTCCAGCACAGTTTTGACCCCAGGTAACCACCTTTTCTGCATTTCTTTTCTCGTGAAATACGTGAGCCCCGCGTGTTGGATAATAAATGGCACATATTTTAAAGCATGTGGCAATCTGACAGAAATGACGCAACTTCGTTTGGGCTTCAATGGGACATGTTACGTTTGCTTGCTTCTGACTGCCTTCGTCCTCAACGCACGCTAGACAGTAGACTTGAGATATGTTTATAGATATATAAGTATGAGTTGTTTCTACTATGTTGATACTGCAGGAAAGGATGTTGTATGAGTAGCTAACGCTAAGGGCTATAGAAATGAAGAGATGGAGTTTCCCCGAAAGTGATCAGTAGACTACAGCAAGGTGTTCGTCTCAAGTGACCACTTCATATATTAGGAACTAAAATAAACAATTTTTCGTGTATTGCGAGAACAACGTTTTCTGAAAAAGGTTTATTAATTCTTCAATAAAACTATGTTTGCCGCCAAAAATAACGTTCTATGCATGAAAGAGCTAATGAAGTATCATGACATGAAAAAAATTGTACGATTAGCTGTAAGGTGTCGCATTTGCACTGGCAGCTGTGGGAAGCACAATGTAAGGAACCTTATCTGCGAATAAAGCTAGTGTTAGAGAAAAAGGCCGAGGGCAAGGTGAAAAAATTCGCCCCGTATCTACATGTTTCACTGCAAATGTCGACGAAAGATGATAGTCTTGCGTGTAGAGAGAGTGAACAAAACAATTATTTGATGTTCTGTGCGAGAAAACTGGTGGATTGTATTCTGGAAGCGTTACGTTAGAGACTCTTGATCCGTGCAGCGGAGGTGAACGAGCGCATCAAGTCACGTTACACGCTAGACATGAGCGCTATCTGGCAGTTATCTTCGAAAACAAGGCACGCGCACCTTGCACGTCCGTCTCGGAGGTAATAAGGTGTAGAATGAAAGGCGACGGGTAGGTGCCACCACCGTGTCGTCTTTGCAAAGTGTTGGAAACACTTGCCTTTTCGTGCAAGCGTTGCATGGTCAGCGCAATGGGATAAACGCTACGGTCCTTAGAATTAGTTATGCATGCCTTTTCTAGTAAGAGAAACACATACAGAATATTGACGTGTTCTTATGGTGCCTCAGATATGCGCAATAATTGCTTTTTAATTGACAATTGCACAAGTATGAACGGTAAATCTTGAGCAATATTGATGGGTGCTGCGCATCTGGTCTGCCATTTGGAGTACCGTTTGGCCACTTTGGTGGCGTTTAGGGTAACGTTATGGGCAGACAAACAGACAATTGTACAGACAGACACAGACCAAAATTTTTTCGTCGAAGGTCCCCAAGAAAAACTATCGTCTTTAAAAAACATCTTGACAGCAACAGCATTTTCCTGCTCTAGCTACGTCTATTGGTTACGAAAGATCAAAGCTGTGAAAAAGTATGACTGCTGCAGGTAAGACAAACAGAGCCACCGGGGAGAGAACTCAGTGGACCGGTATTTCATTCGCTAGTCATCCGAAAATTACACTTCTGCATGACAACAAATTTGAATAATTCTGCGGCACAATTGTACTGCTGTTTTTGGTAGACATGCACTAATTATTGTTGAGGTGACAGGCCCCACTAAAAGTTAATATATTGTCCGTCTCTTACTTGAGTAAATTCCTACATAGTAGCTTAAAAAGGACCGATGAGTTCCTTTGTGAGCATTGGTGCCGTGCCCACCACTGGGAACACGAATGTTTTCTGTTATCTTCTAATACTCTCTTTACTATAAGTTAATTACATTTGTAGTAATGAAGATACGCAGTCTTGCACCAGAAATCTTCGTAAGAGACGATTCCAGCCTATGTTGATTTTGGACGTTTCACTAGAGAAGGCGGAAAGACATTCTTTCTGAAATTGACCCTGAAATATGTCCTTATTGTGTCGCGCGGCTTTCTGATATGTTCATGTACAATAGTCGCACCTCCTGACATCTAGTTTATTTATTATTTGATGTATTAAATCCTTACGTAAAAAAACGAAAAGTGAGCAAGTGGGGCAGGGGCGACTGACGATGAGAAGAAATCTGCACCTGCCTATTTTTGAGGAAAAAGACAATGGAAAGATAAGTTGAAAATAGAACAAGTGGAAGAAAGAAGGAATGAAACACTGATCAAGCAAAAAAAACTAAGTGAAAACTCTAAAGAAGAATATATTAAGCAATTAGAAGGAGCGTAAACACGCGAAAAAAACAACTGCAACGAAACCTGCCCATTAGACGACTAAAGAAGTACGCATCTTTCAAATCTTAGCCAATGTTCAACAAAAAAGCAAGCTTACAACTTCCGTAGGCTTACATGTTGTTTCATTTAGCAAATAGCTACGTATTGCTCTTTCCACTGAAGTAAAAAAATAATGCAACACGGTACTGCATTTTTTTTTCTATATGGAAACAATTAAGGCTAAATTTCGTAGGGTAAATTTCGTACTCTACTGTTTTATTGTACTATATTGAATAAACATTCTTATATGAACAATGTTTTTGCGTTAACTATTGCACTGAGAGAGCCTTTTTGCGAAAAGATGTATTTGAAACCATCGCGCATTCTGAGAGTAAAAAAAAAAGCTTACAAAATCTCTGCCTTTGACATGTGCAGAAACTTCCCAAGGGTGCCCTCTACAGCGATGACTCAGTGTGCTACGGCGAGGTCGGTTGCTTCGATCGCCTTGGCGGAAAGTTTTCACACTTCGCCTCCAGCCCTAAGTCACCAGAAGTCATCGGCACCACATTTTTGCTCTATTCGCGACTTAACAAGGATGAGCCGGTGGTACTAGACTACGCTGACAACGCCACGCTCAACGGGACTCACTTCAAGGAAACCAAGGAACTGGTGTTTGTTATCCACGGCTTCGGTGCCTCAGCGTCGAAGAAGTGGGTGCTCAGCATGAAAGAGGCCTTTTTGAACCTGGTGAGAGGCTTGAAAAAAAGATAACAAAAAAGCGTGATCGATCTTTCAACGTGGTCGGATTGTGGCACTGGTGAAGTCCAAGTAGATGAGGTGGCAGCTCCATCAATACGAATAATTATACCCTATATTTTCGCTACTGGGTGAACACAGGCACGTCACAAAAGTCATGCGGATGAGCATGAACCACTATAGTTAGGATAGAATGAACCGGATATCATTGATAGAGGCCTTCGTCCATGCAGTGGACAAAAACAGTCTGACAATGATGGCAATGATCGTGGCGTACTAAAGTTTTTGTGTTGTTGAGATATAATGTCCTTCATATAAATCTGCAGGGAAACTCTTATATTGTTGATAACTGTGTCATCACGCCTGAACACGCACGTGAAACCAAGTGTGACTACGCAGAAGTCTTAGTTGACACGCTTGGCTCATAGCAGAACGTTTTTGTGCACTTGCAGAAGGATGTGAACCTTGTATTGGTCGACTGGAGCAAGGGCTGTAAGGCACCAGACTACATTTCGGCGGCTGCAAACTCTGCTTTGGTTGGCCGCCAGGTGTCCTTGCTGATTCAAAAACTTATACGCGCGTATCCACACACAGTGACAGCCTCAAAAACCTACCTTGTCGGCTTCAGTCTCGGAGCACAAGTTGCCGGATTCTGCGGGCGCCACTTCTTCAATGCGACCAGAACCAAAATTGGGCGTCTCACTGGTATGCGTCAGATTTTCGCCCCTCCTCCACTCTAGAGCAGATGGGTAAAAACAAAAAGAAGTTGGCTAACTCATTTTTACGATGCTTGTTAAAAAACTAAAAGTTTTTTCTCACCATGAACAAGAACTTCCCATTATTTTGCAATCCGCGAATACGCAAGATTTCTTCAGGCAATGCCACCTGAACAGCACCATGGGGAGACACTTAACCAATATATACCTATGCTACTTATCTTTAGGTATACGTACTTATACTAAGTACATCGTATTCTTCACTTACAAACTTACAAACATCCAGATTAAAGCTGGACCTTAAAATTCATCATGTAGCTAACGTCGGTGGCAATACCATGCTGTGTAAAACTTGTGTTGAAAGTGTGTTGGTTTAAAATAACAAAATTTCAATACAGAATATCCGTTTGCCCATCATATATATTTCGTTATTGTTTACTAGCCACAAAAAACAAAGCAAGATAACAGCACGTGCTGACGAAAAAAAAACGCGATTTGCACTTCCGTACAGCAAATGGTAGCCTAGTTTTTCCTTCAATTTTAGCGGCTAGCGCTACTCTTCGTGTTTGAGAGTTATGAGAACCTAGCCCGAGGTTTAGAGCTTCTATGAAAAAAAAATAAAAAATGATTTTACGTTATAATGATGAAACAACTGCATTTGAGACGTCGTCCTATTAACTAATGAACCATTGTAACAGACGGATCACTGTCATTTACAAGCATTTTCATGGTCTTTCTGCTTTTCAACGAATAAAGGCCAATTAAATGTCACCGTATTCCAACGTGAGATATTTAGTTTTCTCTAAATAATTATTGCAAGCAACTAAGCCGAATAATTGACCCTAAATAAGCAGCGAGTGGAATTAAGTTAGGCGGTGCTGCTCCTGCTTATTGTTCATATGTGTTCTGAAGCTATAAACATAAGCGCGTGTAAATATTTCGTAAGCTTTTTTTTTTTAGTGATGCAGAACACAGCCCTCTAAAGTGCGTTCTCTGCAAGCACGTGGCACAATGCATATGTTTTTCTGACAAAGGTCACTTACTTTCTTCCAGCGCTGGACGCAGCCGGTCCACTTTTCGAGACCTATGACTTCCAAGTATGCAAAGATGATGCAGAATATGTAGACGCTATTCACACAACTGCCGGAAGTAACGTTCTTGCAGGACTACTGGGCATCGAGAGTCCCTTCGGCCATGTCAACTTTTATCCAAACGGTGGAAAATCGCAACCTGGTTGCTGGTTTTTTGGTAAGCATGCCTACACTTTAAACTTTCCGTGTTTTTTTTTACATGCAACAATTTTTATTTCTTCAATACTACTGATGCATCTATGATAGAAAAGTTGGGCTACCAAACTATACAGTACAGTGAGAGATGCCACGTTAGCCTACAGTCATTGGAATGGGCAGTGCTCTAGGCTAAAATTTACAGGGACCCCTTGAGATAACGGCACTGTAAGACACAAAACAAGAGTTGTGTTCAAAAGGGTCTTCGCAAAAGTGCATTGTCTGTTGGTGACATCTGCATCATGACCTTCTCCCCCATCGGCTCTGGGTCGCACTATACTTACCAAATGCATCACAATAAGAAGTGAATCCTAAAAACAGTGAATACTCATGAACTTCTTCCGAATGTCTTTGTAATTAGTGCAAAAAAAAGCACACGAAAGCACAAGGAAGTGCACAACACAAGCGCTTTCAGTTGTAAAAAAAAATAGCGCTTGTGTCGCACACTTCCTTGTGTTTTCGTGTCGTTTTTTGCACTGATCATCATCAGTATGTTCCAACTTGGCCCATTAGTTACTTCCTCTTTTTCAACAAGGATTTCTACAAAAAAAGTCTCACAGATATGGTACGTGAACATGATTCCGATAATTATCCTAACCGCGATATCGCCCCGCCACGGTGGTCTAGTGGCTAAGGTACTCGGCTGCTGACCCGCAGGTCGCGGGTTCAAATCCCGGCTGTGGCGGCTGCATTTCCGATGGAGGCGGAAATGTTGTAGGCCCGTGTACTCAGATTTGGGTGCACGTTAAAGAACCCCAGGTGGTCGAAATTTCCGGAGCCCTCCACTATGGTGTCTCTCATAATCATATGGTGGTTTTGGGACGTTAAACCCCACAAATCAATCAATCAACAGCGATATCTCAATGTGAACAGTTAAAGTTTTTACGTCGCATATGGGACTTCACAAGACAGACGACGTTAAGACTCCGCCATCTGCCCAATTTCACATCCTTATTAAGGAAGGAACGTACACTTGCAGATTTAGCATTTGAGCCTATAGCGACTTGAGGTTAATGCGAAACATGAACGAGAGAGCAGCAAGCCTGAAGTGAGGCCATCTCTTACCGACAGCTGCACGTCATCGGCCTCCCTGAAATGTAGCAGCATTACTCCAATTGATGTCAGTGTGAGAGGCAGTTTGCTCAAGTGAAGGTGTGAGCACTCTGTATTGCATGGAAGTTTGAAAAGTTTGAATCGCTGCCCATGAATCAAAAGACAAAAAAGTAAAAATAGTCTCTGGAGAACGTAGAATTTAAAGGAAAAAGCTCTCAAAGAGAAGTGAAATCTTATGACAAACAAGAGCCCGCACGTACGCCATCTATTACGACATGTGCTGTGCATCTTCTTTTGCAGACCTGTTCTGTCACCACCGACGCTCAGTACAGTACTTCATCGAGTCTATGCACGAGAAGCGACACTGCCTATTCAAGTCGAGTCCTTGTGAAAGCATCGACAGTTTTCTGGATTCCAAGTGCAATTCTACAGGGCCTCACGGCGAGATGGGTTATTTCAGCCATGACGCTGAAGGCCGCGGAGCCCAGTTCCTGTGGACCAACGAAAACGACCCCTTCTGCAAGGCCTGAACTTATGTCCGAGTGCAGCACCTTCTGCTACAAAACACCGCCATACATTCCGGTGAAATGATTACACGAACCATCTTCGCGGCTTCCTAAGTGAAATATCGACTGCGAAAACCGGTACGCACCGGAGAAGCTCCACATTGCATTTTTATCGCCTTAATTGTTCTATTAAATAAACATAGTAAAAAAATGGCCGTCCAGTCTGTGTGAATATGTAGCATCAATTGCGGTGCTGAAGAAACCTTTGATAAACACTCACGTTGCCTATAAATATTTAAAAGCGCCTGTGTTATTTAATGAGTGCTGTCCTGAAGGGCAAACTTTTCTCTCGTGCAATGACTAAAACATGTAAATAAATCGTATATCCTGCTTGCGATGAACATTTTTGTAAATATTGGACATGCAACTAAATCTCTCTCCAAGCCGATCATGAACTTGAAGGCTTGAAAAAGGGTTGAGGTTGCCATTGCTGGCTTCATAAATATGAATATTCATAAACCATATGAGAGCTTTCCACAAGTATGACACATACTGCCATAAAAAGAATTCCCAAGGTTGAAACCACACCTCAACCAATGCAATCATTTGAGCCCACACAGTTATTGGCATTTAAGCGCATCATTATTTCCCAAATGATTAACGATAGTCAGGTAAAAAGGTAAGGAATTCTCAAATCCAAATGGCAATTACAATTACACCACGGCGGTAGCGAATTTATTGACGAACGCTGATAGCCAAGACGCAACTACGCACGCAACTACGACTGCGTGGCGATACACGCAGGTGACAGAATAGCTGAATCATAACAAATATAGATGTGTGTAATAAACAAAACAAGAACCCATGAAAAGGATGAGCATTGCTTACTTGGCTAGATCATGTCACTTAGAATCACAGCCGATAGAGAAGGAAGGAAACGCAGAGCAGGGTTAACCAAAAAAGCTTGACCACCATAGGCAGGAGAATTGGCCAGTGCCAAAAAGTCAAGCATATACAAGGAGCAAAGAGGTTGAGCTAATATAGTTCAAATTGAGCCTATCTAGTATTACTTAGAAAGGAATGCACAGATGAAAGTACATGTATATAGCTCGAGTGTCGGAGCATGCTTTCTTTTGTGGATCTTGTTTATGGTGAACAAACGCCTCTCGTAAGCTTAATGTTCATCTTGTTCTCTATCATTTCTTGTTCAATCTTTCTTGTTTGTTGTTTTGCTCTGCCTTGTTTCTTGAGGGACGAGTGCATTCGTGTTTGAGGCGAATGAATGCCTCCGGCATCAACGTTTTAAGCCATTGATAGTTTCTCTTCATTCATGTTTGCTCAGTAATCTGCTCAGATACTAACTATTTAAACAATCACCCGAGAGAACTAATTCCAGCTGCGAGCAAGGCTGCGCCTAGTTAATATAAACACAGATGACTACAACTATACATCTACAAAATCAATCTAAAGCTGTCTTCCGATACAGGCGGAAATGTTGTAGGCCCGGGTGCTCAGATTTGGGTGCACGTTAAACAACTCCAGGTGGTCAAAATTTCCGGAGCCCTCCACTACGGCGTCTCTCATAATCATATGGTGGTTTTGAGACGTTAAACCTTACATATCAATCATCAATACAAAGCTGTATTTCCCCCCACACTACAATGAAACTTTTCATGCTCCAAGCTCGTTTCAGGGCTTTCAAGGTATAATAATACTGAGCGATAAATCCACCCGAGCACCAATCTTTATGTATACAGTAGCTTTTATTATCGCAGAGCCTATATTTAATTAGAATAAGTGTCAGAAATAGGCGATACTAAACAACCACGTGTTAGAGAGGACTCCGAAAGACCTAAACCTCACAACACAACCCTCTTTTTTTGTCAAGTGTGGCTGCAGGCAGAATGAGATTAATGAACAGCAGCAAGCAGCTTCATTTATCTTTTATTTTTGCTTTATATATCATCAGAAACTTTCTTCTGTTGCCACTCTGCTTATGCTGAGAGCAGATATATATAGAGGTTATGTAATTTAAATCAGTATGCGTTTACAAAGAATTTGCAGGAGCGTGTTTCAAATAGACAGAAGAAATCAGAGCATCAAAAAATTAGGGTGACTCGTGTCACTATACCTACAAGTTCTTTGAGCAAATGTAACAGGCCCGAAAAACAAAAGACACGTGGGCAAATCATCCTCTGGATTATCTAGGTCATGGGCAACAAGGTACAAAAATAACGCAAAGAAAGACTGGGCCTTGACGCCAGACTGCGTGGAGATCGAAGGTTGCGTTACAAAAAGTTCTTCGTGTTCATAGACACACGAGTACCATGTCAAACAATACACACGTAAGAAGTGTAGCGAGAGCAGAAATCGCGACGAGTTCTGTACAGCATGACCTCCAGGACATTGTAGCGCACACTGATTGGTTCGCTTATGCATGCAGCTCAAATCCCGGTGTGGAAGATGTGGCGGCCCAGTGACACACACACGGCGCCCGCATGGATTTATGTCAAGAGCAACATGCGCCGGGCAGGTGTGATGCAGGCAGGTGGAGCCGTGTATATATGAGCTTTCAGAGCTCCCAATTCCGAACTATTTTACTCTTGTCATGTCCAGTAAATAATAGCCATAAATCTGCACGCTAAAGTACGGGTCACCACCTGGTCGTAAAGTTTGACAATTTCTCTTGGCTGCTTTGAGAGAAAAGTCGGCCTGCATCTGCAAGACTCCTGACGTGTACCCCATTTTTCCTTTTAATAGCTGAGCTAGGTCTTTGGCATAGCAACGAATTGACTACAGTCATCGATCGAACGGTCGTGTTTGCCACAGGGAGAATACACCAGGTAAGGCTATGTTTACCATTTTCCCTTGTGGGAAACATTGCGGAAATGAGTGCGCTGTTGGTAATCTTTTGCGCTAATCTTGGTAGTGAAGATATAGTTCTTGCTGGAATTCAGCAATATCATGGAACCGTTTCTATTTTTTGTACATTGAGTTGAAGCTAGATAAATATCATTACGTGTAGTGTGATCAAGCTGGATCAAGAAGAGGAGGCTCACATTATATAGGCCAGCAGACGGCAGGAAGACGAAGAAGAGGAAGGGAGGCTAATACGATGGTGCCATGTTTGTGTTTGAAATACAGTGTTAATTTCTTTTGTGTTCACTTTAGTGTTTCTTCTACGTTTAAATATATTGATTGATTAATTGATTTGTGGGGTTTAACGTCCCAAAACCACCATATGATTATGAGAGACGCCGTAGTGGAGGGCTCCGGAAATTTAGACCACCTGGGGTTCTTTAACGTGTACCCAAATCTGAGCACACAGGCTTACAACATTTCCGCCTCCATCGGAAATTCAGCCGCCGCAGCCGGGATATGAACCCGCGACCTGCCGGTCAGCAGCCGAGTACCTTAGCCACTAGACCACCGCGGCGGGGCTACGTCTAAATATATCTAAGAGCAAATTTGGTCTTAGTAACGACAATTCAGCACAGATATTAAGTTGCTGGAGCTGATGCATTTGTTCGCACTATCAAGGACAGTGAATCTGTGCATAGCAGTGAGTCACATGGTAAGTCACTCACTGTTACAGCCTGCAAGAAAAGTCATCCTGTTTCTTCGCTTGAAGTTCTCCCACGCGGAAACACTGCCGAGAATTACGTACGAGTTCGAAGTTCATATTTGGAACAAAGAAACTATAAAAGCACACAAGAGAAGGAAGACAGAAGATACTTGAGACATACGAGAGTTCAGTTCTTGTCTTGGGCGCTTTTAGTTTCTACCGTGCCTTACCAACATGCATGTCCAAACAGACACAATTTTAAGTCCGGTGCTTTCTTTACGTGAAGTGGTACGCACATGCGAAAAAGTATTAGAACAGCTGATACATCCAGTACGTGAACAAACTATTTTTCATTTAACATGCTTAACCACAAACAAAGATAAAGTTAATGTGCATTGAAAAACAAACTGTCATAAAATATACCATAAATATAAAAATGTCCCGACGAGTCTCCGAATTTACTTTAAACACATTGTTTTCTTGTCTTGCAGTGACGTAAAGCAGCTGAAATTAATTTCTTTGGCCCTTATAGAAATAACAGTTTGCATAATCAAAAACTGATACTTGTGACATGAATGTATAAAAAAAATAAAGACAGCTGGAAATAAAAGCAGCGCAATCAGCCACTACTGCTACCACGCAACAAAGAAGAGATAAAACAGAGCTATACATGAGAAAAAAAGAAAAACTGACAACGTGCGGACGCGCGATAATGCACAAGTGCTGACCAAGCTCTGTTGAAAGTAATACCTCATACCTAGATAACTTTGGTGAACACGCCACTGCATATGTCGCTATGTGGACATACGAAGCTTGAAGTCCTGGTGCACCCGCAGGTCATTTGTTTAACCAACTTTTAAAAGCAAACTATGAGAGAAAGCATTTAAAAATTGAAAGAATGTTTACTCTCGCCACACACTCACAAGAACTCGCAGAACACTAATCGTCAGTCGTCACACGCCCGACGAGAAAATCAGTTGGGTACGCATATCTGCATTAGGTATAGTGAACGAAATGGCCTATTTTCGCCACCTCCTGAGGATTCATGGCTGTATTTATGCCGTTTCTCGCGTTCCGGTTGCAAGTACAAAAGAAAAGTCCGACTTAGTAGAACAGTGATTACAATGCCCGACTGCTGACCTTAAGGTCATTGGTTCGATCCCGACCGCAACAATCGCATTTTGATGGAGCTAAAATGCTAGAGGATTGTGTACTGTGTGGTATCAGCGCACGTTAAAGAACACTAGATGGTCGAAATTTCCGGAGCCTTCCATCACAGCGTCCCTCAAAAAACACCAGTGGTTTTGGCACGTAAAACCACAGATATTATTATTATTATTATTATTATTATTATTATTAAGTACGAAAAAAAGGCTTTCAGGAAATATCTATAGATTCGAGACACAACAAGACTGGGAACATTGCTCGCAGTCTTATTGTGTTCCTCGCGCTTATTTGTGAAGCACGATAAGCTAGGTAGTTATATACATTTTCGAAAGTTTTGAGCAACAATTTAGTGTATATAAGCCTTTTGAAGCGTTGAGGGTGTCTTAAGAACATACTATAGAGTGTTTTCGTAAAATTAATATTTTTTGGAAAGAACTTAGTTGAAAATATGCGTAATATAATAAACGTGACGTAACTCTGCACTTGCATGATTGAAATGCACCTATCTTACTCAAGCACTTGGTTAAGTCCTGCTCTTCCGGGCCTAGTTTCGCTGCGCTTCGATGTCCTTCACAAATGATCTCAAGTATGCTTCAAAAGGGAAAAAAAAAGATATTTTAAGTCTTGTAGAAACGTGGCGGAGGGAATGGGAAACGCTATGACCCAATACGCCAAAGTAACCATTGCAACAGTTTGTAAGCTTTCAAGTAAATATTGCACATCAGATACTTGTTTCACTTGGGACATTAGACATCACTAAAGTTTGTCATTGTGTTCAGAGTGTGACTCACGAGTGTGGCTTGTCATTGAAGCGCGGCACATACACTTCTTTGTTTGCGTAGCATACCTTCATTGTCAACGTTACTTCATAAGCAAACACTAAATGGTAATGATATCAAAATATATGCATATATGTCATTGTCAATTTAAATGTGATATGCCCTACGTTACATTAATTCCATAATCAGTAGTACTGACGCTTTCTACAGTTTTAATCGCACATAGCATTCCGTTTGAGTTTTATAATGATCGTACCATCGCGTATTGGCTTGCTAATATCCATGGTTGAACTTTCATTAAAAGCTACGTTGTAAAAGATAAGCGCACACTACTAAACCATGCTTGATATCTGTCGAACAAAGATACAGGTACAAGCAGACCTTCTGACCGAAACAATGCCTTTCCCCTTTCTTCCTCGGGCCAATCAACTTCACCCGTCATTATGACTGACATTGCGCGTTCTTGTCTCTGCATCGCAGGGAGAAATTTGAGGCTTGACAAAGGAGGTGCTTTTGCCTTTTTGGTAGTTGGAAATGATGCAAATCCCATGGATATCAGGTAAGTGCTGAAGTATACCTGCGAGGAAGCACCACTTCAATCTGTAATCGGATTTTAATCTGAGGCGATGATAACGTCTACGCACCACGCAAAACAATAGGCGGAAGAGCATTTATCTGATTGCTAAGCCTACAACGTTCAACGTTGAGAAGCACTGTAAAGCTAAAGAGGTGTATTACCCAGCATAAATGCAGCCTGCTGGATGACTATACCAGATTAAAAGGGTTGAAAGAACACGAACTGGCTGATTGAACAAATAGTATACGAAGCTGAAATCGAGTTACTGGCATCTGTAATTCAATGCGCCAGCTTCGTAGCTTATTTTCGGCCGATAAAATTATATGGTAGGAAATCAGCGCTAAAGGACAGGAAAAAGCATGCCTGCTAATTTAAACTGCAGATTTGATTACTTGGTCTGAAAAAAAAAACCATCAAGAATTCGACAACTCGTCTGGTCTGGAAATCTCTTGATCAAAGATAAAGGAAGACTCCGACCAAATACGTTACGAATTTTTAGATATCTGGTTGGGAAATCTCTTGATCAAAGATAAAGGAAGACTTCGACCAATTACATTATGAACTTTTAGATATCTGGTCGCGAAATCTCTTGATCAAAGATAAAGGAAGACTCCAACCAAATACATTACGAACTTTTAGATATCTGGTCAGGAAATCTCTTGATCAAAGATAAAGGAAGACTCCGACCAAATACATTACGAACTTTTAGATATCTGGTCGGGAAATCTCTTATCAAAGATAAAGGAAGACTCCAACCAAATACATTACGAACTTTTAGACAAACTGCAATAGCGCGAAAAAATGGAATAGTTAGTTGATCTTCGCAATAAAAGAAGCGCAAAAAGAAGGCAAAACGTCAGCACCTGTCCTGCACTTTTTTGTCTTATGTTGGCGTTGCGTTTTCACTACTTTTACCATGAATGTAAAATGAATTATTTTCGGCTATTATACGAAATTTTGTTCACAATAAAGCAACTTAAGAAGTGAGTTAGGTACGTATAAATAGATCGTGCAAACGTCCTGCAAAGCCGAAGGAATGGTGACGTCATAATACGGTTGAGCGTATAGTATCACGCTGAACCGCAATGATGACACACTAACATGCAGCAGTTCACATATAGCGTCGAACATATTGAGGTTCTTTTTGTATTTGGTCAGTGTGTTTATTTACATTTGTTCATAGTTGATTTTGTTTTATTTTCAACTGGGCTGAGTGAAAGGTACATAGAAATGCAAACACACTGATTATAGATTGATACTTGGGGTTTAACGTCCCATTAACACTATATAATTCTGAGAGACCCCGTAGTGAAGGGCTCCGCAAATTTCGACCACCTGTGGTTCTTTAACGGGCACCTAAATCTGAGCACACGGGCCTACAGCATTTTCGCCTCCACTTAAAACACAGCCACCGCAGCCGGCATTCGATCTCACGACCTAGCAGCAAGCACACTGAAGCACCGAGTTGACTGGCGGAACATGGGAGAGCCCGTGGTCCTAATGTGGCCGTAGCCAGGATGATGATGATAATAAGCCGATCGGGTAGGCTTAGAGTGGATGAAAGTGGGCATGTGTCAGCTTGATGGCACATACCCACCAGAAAACCGCCTGCTCTTAAACTGACATTATTCAACTATATTAAGAGCACTCGAATATTGAGATGCGCAGAACTCTACGAGGGCTAAACAATAAATTCTGGCAGCACGTTTCCGTTCTCCCAAAGCGAATCGTGAAAATGACGTAAAAACAAGCGCTTGATTGAGACTTGCTCCGCCATCTGCCCAAACAATCTCAGGTGTCCAGCAAAAAAAAACTGCTATATAAATAAGTCTATTATGTTCATTTATTGCCCTGGCCAATAATTGATTCTTATTCAGAATAAACTGATGCTCCGAAATGGTATAAAGTGACATTAAAATGAAGCAATGAGTTGATTTTTGTACATAAATTGCAGCCCGCAAACTGTAAACTCATCATCATAGGTTTAATAATTGACAGAGAAGAAAACGAGGTGAAAGTTTCATTTTCAAATTTTGCACCGAAATCTCTATCTGCTGAGTTAATATATATTTTTTTCTACTTTGACGACATTAGCCCATCTAAATTTCCTTAGACATGGTATGTTAAGTCTATGGCCCGATTAGAGAACCATGTACCTCATTTTTACTCATTAGGGACCACGTAAGACCTAACAGACGCCGTCAAAATCAATGACGGCATGGCATGCCTTGCGGGAATTTGAAGGTGGCGTCAACACCCACAACTTGTTTTTGCGCATTTTCAAGCATCTTCTCGCAGTGAGCACGGTGACTTTAAAATTCTGGAACACTAATGTACTATTATGAAAGAATTTTTTTCTATTTAGTGTATATATAACTTGAACCAGTACCTCCTTTTTTTTACATGAGTTATATTTAGTGGAGTTCCATTTAGGCCAACGCTCAACTTCTGGCTGGCTGGGACAAATTACGCGTTATGCCTCAAAAAACATACAGCCACGAGTTGCCAGCCCCATAAAAGACCACTAATGTGGACTTATCTTTTTATTCAACCTTTGGCACGCAAGCGGGACCAATGTTTCTTCTGCTGACTATTCTGGCAACCACTGCGGTTGTCCCTTCCTACGAACAATACGCTGAACTTGGGCAAAGCAAGTATGATGACGCTGAAATAGTCAAAGCCATAGACTACTACACCGAACTTGCAAAGGTGAGTGCAATGATAGAATTGATACAAGCAGTTACCATGCAACCCTATAGTGTGCAGGAAATAATCCGGTTGAATGAGGACAATCAACAAATTAATGTGGAAGCCAAAGCGTTTAGTAAGAGTATGCACTGATAGACCGTAGGATTGGGCGTGTTGGTATAACATGATGAAGAGTGCTTACCAGTGCGAACGACAGGTCAGGAGGGTACAGGAGAAGATACAAAACAGTGTTCTGTCAGTGCTCTGTATCGTTTCTATTTTAGTTCATTTGGTGGATTTTTATTAGTTTTGTTTCATACACACATGTATATGTAGGTGAGACTCGGGTACAGAAAATATGATTCATAGTTGCAAGGCTGCGTGAAGCCTTCAATGACTTTTAGGAGGCGGACATACAGTATCCGTACAGCAGGCCCATTAGATGTCAACAACTATTTTTACATCCTCTTTTAGCGAAATCTGGTTCAAATATTTTCTTTCACCATGCAGATATTTTGTGAGAATTTCATTCAAGCTATGTATTGAGGGAGCAGACAATTTCGGAATGACACTGATAAAAATGTCACAATATAAGTTTTTCAAAATATCTAATGGTTTGACTACATTAATTGCTATGCATTGAATAGAGGCATAAAACTACAATTGATTCTCAAATTAAGTGCTAAAGACTTTAATATACCCATGCTTTTTTGCATTAAAATTTTTAAAAATGTGCTACTGTCCTAAATGTCTTAATGCTATTGAGTCCTATTCAAAATGAACCCAGACTAGGTCTACCTCTCAGCTGAACACTTGTTGCTAAGTGCCGAAGTCCTTGAAAGAATAATGTTGAATAGCAGTTGAGGCAATAAATTGAATCCTATGAAGGTTCACGGGTATTGAAACAACACAGAAAAAACATGTAATGATAACATAATTGAAGTGCAACAAAGTTGAGAACGTCAAGCCAGAGGTAGCAGCACAGCGAGTACAACGGCAGAAAATAATTTACCAACTCTCCTGCTACTTCTCCACCTGGTACAGTGAATTCAAATTGCCTGTGAGCTCTGTACTGTGCCTACAAAAATTATTTGAAAAAGAAGAGCCACGAGGAAGCCGATCAAAACTCTTGCAATGTTGACTTCGCGCCTGAATGTCTTTTAATCATGCAATTCTATCTTCAGCCTAGCGCACTTACACAATAATACAGTGACGGAGGAAGCATTGTGCGGTATAGCTTTGCAAGATTTTCACCGAGTTTTTGATTTTTAGTGCTCACCCCTATAAGCATGAGCTGTGCTCAAAATTTTGTTTGCGTACTTTATTGTCACACAGTAAGATGGACTAACTTACACACAAATCCTGCTGAGTTCCCACAATTTTCTTATGACTGCTGCATGCATGAAAAAGTGCTCTGTCTCGTCTCTTCTCCTGTACCTCCTGTCCTGTCGTTTGCGCTGGTAAGCACTCTTTAACTGATAGACCACGTGTGGCAAACACTGCATAAAGAGCAGGCAACCGGCCAATCACCAAGAGATGTTACGCAGAGGCAGAAAAATTGACTGTGACTCATAGTTTCAACCTAACTCATGCGGGACATATTGAAAATAATTGTGCGAGAATAACACGAACTGGTCGGACAATTCTTTATTAACTTTTCGAAAAAAAAAGGAAGAATATGTTGCAATAACTAAACGTACCTGTTACATTGACTTTTCGCACTCGAAGGCTTTGCTGCTTTGCTCTTCATTGCAATGTAATCAACTTACTAGAAGCGCAAGATGTCTACGTGAACTTGTTTTTTTGTAACCGTTTCTGCTAAACAAATTGTGGGCACAAAATGTGATCTCTAATAAGTCTCACAGAATTGTACTTCGTTAAATAACCAAGGTAAATAACCAAACAAGAGCGCAGTTCCAGGGACGCTTGAGCGATTCATGACGTGATGACGCTTCTGGCATAAATAAAAATGCAAGACATACATACATACATACATACATACATACATACATACATACATACATACATACATACATACATACATACATACATACATACATACACACACACACACACACACACACACACACACACACACACACACACACACACACACACACACACACAAGGCATAAACTTGAAACACGAACTATTAAGGAAGGTGACTTCTGCATTGAAGAATACAAGTCCCTCTGTAGACGGTGTAGTGACATTCCTTATTTAACGATATTTAATGGTGTGCTGCTCGAAAGTAATTATTTGCCTACCCTATTTGGGAACCGCTTACTTCACTAGATCATTTTTACACACACACACACACACACACACACACACACCACACACACACACACACACACACACACCACACACACACACACACACACACCACACACACACACACACACACACACACACACACACACACACACAACACACACACACACACACACACACACACACACACACACACACACACACACACACACACACACACACACATATATATATATATATATATATATATTTAAGGAAAAAAGAAAAAGTGTATACCTGAGGGCTCGTTTTTTCGTGTCTTTACATAATATTAATGAGATCTAACAGACAATAATGCCAAGAAAAGTATAGAGGAAGATTTTAGACCAAATTGTAATGTAAATATAAAGAAAAGTGGGTGAAAAGATAACTTGCCGTGGGCAGGATCCGAGCGTGCGAACTTCTAATGACGCGTTCGATGCTCCACCACTGAGCTACCACGACAGCTATCCCCCCAGGCACTTTATAGGGTTTATGTGTGAACTAAACGTGGGAGTGTCAGTCAGCGCCACCAGTAGCCATGGCCGCGAGTGTGGCACACTCTTTCGAGCCTGTTTGGCGTCACGTAGCACGTGAACTTGTTACGAGTGGGCAGCTGACCGATAGTCCCTCGTATACAACCTAAAGGCACTAAGTCTGGCAGTACAAGACCCTCGTTAATGAATAAGGAAAGAAGTGCATACCTAAGGGCTCGTTTTTCCGTGTCTTTACGCAATATTAATGAGATCTAACAGAAAATAATGCCAAGGAATGTATAGGGGAAGATTTTAGACCAAATTGTAGTATAAATAGGAAGAAAAGTGGGTTAAAAGATAACTTGCCATGGGCAGGATCCGAACCTGCGACCTTCGAATGACGCGTTCGGATCCTGCCCACGGCAAGTTATCTTTTCACCCACTTTTCTTCCTATTTATACTACAATTTGGTCTAAAATCTTCCCCTATACATTCCTTGGCATTATTTTCTGTTAGATCTCATTAATGTAAAGACACGGAAAAACGAGCCCTTAGGTATACACTTCTTTCTTTATTCATTAACGAGGGTCTTGTACAGCCAGACTTAGTGCCTTTAGGTTGTATACGAGGGACTATCGGTCAGCTGCCCACTCGTAACAAGTTCACGTGCTAGTGACGCCAAACAGGCTCGAAAGAGTGTGCCACACTTACCGTCATGGCTACTGGTGGCTCTGACTGTTACTCCCACGTTTGATTCACATATAAATCCTATAAAGTGGCTAGGGGGATAGCTGTCATGGTAGCTCAGTGGTGAGCATCGAACGCGTCATTCGAAGGTCGCAGGTTCGGATCCTGCTCACGGCATGTTGTCTTTTCACCCACTTTTCTTCATATTTACATTACAATTTGGTCTAAAATCTTCCCCTATACTTTCCTTGGTATTATTGTCTGTTAGGATAGAACGCTTCTGCTTTCGGCTCCGAGCATTGTTATCAAGTTTTTCGCTTTCTACGGGAGACGCTGCTCCCTGCCCCAGGGCGACGGACGCGGAGTCATCCACTGGTCCGCCCAGCCAGAGGTCTGCTATGGCGAGCTCCTCGGTAAATCAGCGCGCCTGGCCCAGAACCAGTGAGGCCAACGGTGATAGTCACTGCATCATGGCTGTGGACGTGGAGCCTTCTGCGGCTATGTCCGACCATAGACCACTTTTGGCAAGCTCGTCGCGGAAACGAAGCACCTGTTCGAGCACCAGCGAGGACACGGAACTGTACTCGGCCACTGGCGACGACTCGTCGGATGACGACTTCGAGACCGTGAGAAGCAGGAAGGCCAAAAGAAGAAGTATCAAGTCGTCTTCACCAGCAGGGACATTAACGTCTCAGTCAAAAGGAGAATGCTGGCCGCACACCATCCTCTTCATGCCCGAGGACTCCACCATCAGCCTTCGAGCAGTAAACAGGCAAGCTCTCTCTATGTACTTTGAGGGGGTAGCACCAAACGACATTAAGGATATCCGGGTGAACACGCGGAAGAATATTCTAGCTGTGGACACAATGACTGCCAGCGCCATAGACAAGCTTCGCAGAGTATCAGATTTGGGAGGCATCAAAGTACGACCGGTTATTCCAATGGACAGTGCCTGCACGGCGGGAGTAATCTACGACATTGATTTGGCCATAGCAAACTCGGACCTCCCAACTCTCATAAAACCAGCGAACGAAGGAGTTCTCATCGCGAATGTACTTCGTCTCGGAAACACCCGATGTGTAAAGATAATGTTCAAAGGAGATTCCATTCCGTCGCATGTCAAAGTGGGACACTTCCGACATCCTGTTCGACCATTTGTCCCTAAACCACTCCAGTGCCATAACTGCATGAAAATTGGTCACATCAAGAGTGTATGTACCAACACCACAGTATGCCCCCGATGCGCTGAGCCGCACACTGCAGACGCATGTCGGGCAACAAGTCTGAAGTGCAGAAACTGTGATGGTCCGCATGATGCTGCATCCAAGGAATGCCCTCGGATTAAGAAGGAAATAGCCATTATCAAACAAATGGTTAGGGACAATTCAACCCACAGAGAGGCTGCTGAAAGGGTACGGCGGCGACGTAGTCGCCGACGGAGGCGTGGAGGACAGAGTGTTGCGCATAACCCATTTCCTCCGAGCACGAGTGAAGTAGTAAGCACGAAGCGAAAAGAAGTGGAGAAGCTCACAGCTGCGGATGAGTGGCCTACGCTTCCGCGTACAC